CCAGGAGTTGGAGGTTGCTGTGAGGCCATAGCACTCTACCCAGGGGGACAGCTTGAAGCTCTGTCTCAAAAAAAGAAAAAAAAAGTTCTCACCTCTCTGCTCTGTGCCAGGCTCTGTGCTAGCCTCGGGGAATGTGGGATGTGGTGAAGCAGGCTGACCTAGAGCCTATCCTCCCCAAGAGTAAGATGAAGCATGGGCCCCTAAGTAGAGCCATTCTGAACTCTCAGGAAACTCCCTCAAACCCCTGTGGGTCTTTCCTAAACTCTGCTACCACAACAAACACCAGCTTAGATAGGACTAGAATATGAAAGGGTCAAGGGGACCCTTTGAGAAGGACCCAGTGCTATTTAGTCCACCCTTCTCCACCAGCACTACTCAGTTAGGCAGCAGAGGCAGGGATGGGGTTGGATGAAACAGGATGTCAGCTCAGTATCTATCTGATCCTCTTCCCCACTCCTTCCATGCATGTAAAAAGCTGACCCCATCTCTCCCTTTAGCTCTTCCTGGCTCAAGTGAGAGAAACCACACGCACCACTCTTTCCCTCTTGGGTTCTCTGCCTCCAGGTAAAGCCAGAAGAACAAAGGTCCCTCTGGTTCCAAGTATAACCCATAAAACCCCTTGGTTTGGGCAGTGCCTGTGGCTCAAGGAGTAGGGTGCCAGCCCCATATACCGGAGGTGGTAGGTTCAAACCCAGCCCCAGCCAAAAACTCCAAAAAAACCCCTTGGTTCGTTTGGGTTTTTGCTAAGATGAGGACAGGTCTTGGGTTAACAGTGACACTCTCCCTTACTGACTGCTCATCCTGGGCCAGCTCTAGGTTGGACCTCACACACCTCACCCCACTGAACTCTCACAATATCCCATGAAGTACAGGGTGTCATTATTTCTACCTTGCAGACAGAAAACGTGAGGCTCACATTGTTCAAGTGACTCACCTGAGGCCACACAGTTAAGTCATGTAGCCAAGGATTCTGACTAAATTAGTTTGATACCAGAAACTAAATCATTAACTATTATGCTTTACTGACTTTAGTGTCCACTGTGGCCCCCTCTGAGACTGCAAGTGAGAGAGAGGGGTCTACAGCAAACTTAAATTGAGGGGTAATATATATATATACACACACACACACATATATATATATAAAATTTTGGTAGAGACAGAGTCTCACTTTATCGCCCTTAGTACAGTGCTATGGCGTCACACAGCTCACAGCAACCCCCAACTCCCGGGCTTAGGCGATTCTCTTGCCTCAGCCTCCTGAGCTGGGGCTACAGGCGCCTGCCACCAACGCCTGGCTTTTTGTTGCAATTTGGCGGGGGGCCAGGTTCGAACCTGCCACCCTTGGTATATGGGGCCGGTGCCCTACCCACTGAACCACAGGCGCCTCCTGAGGTGTACTATATTTTAAGCCTTTTTTTCTTTTTAAATATCAACAAAACTAGAACCAGAAGAGCTTTGCTTTTTTATTTTAAATCTGAATCAACTGAAAAAATCAAATCTGTTTTTCACCTCTTGGTTCTTCACGCCAAGGTCACTGGCTGCTGTGAAGACCATTCATTCTCCCCATGTCCCAGGTCCCATGCCCTCTATCACTGCTGCTGTTCAACACCTAAGCCATCAGCAATATCAGGAGGTAGAGAGGCAAAAGGAGATTGTCTATCTGTGTAGTATATGCTTCTAGGAGGGACACAGTGCTGATGGACCCCAAAATCCAAGTGTAACTGTAGTTTAGGTCTACTCCACTGTCAAAGATTAGGATTAAAGCTACAGAAA